CCCGGTTGGGCTCGTTCATGCTCTCCCAGCCGAAAACAACGGCATCGAGAACGTCGCCAGCCTCCTTCAGCCGCTTGCACAAGTGTGCGCAGGCGCCAAAGAAGTGCTCTTGCAGATAATCCTGGATGTTCTTGCCGTCAATGACGCATATCGGGGCAACATCGCGCCCAGCCCAGAACAACGTGAAGATGGTGCCAGCGGCGAGACGCTGGTAGTTGGAAGCCCAGATCATCTTGGGGAACTTGGAAGGGTCCGGGTAGAGGTTGTGGACCAGAGCGGCCTCGGTGGCCATGAAGCTCTGGGGGTTGAGACCGCAGGCGTATATCGTCCACATGGGTGCGCCGGAGCCACCGCAAAACCTAGACCACTGGGGTCGATCATGTTAGGAACGAGACGGCAAAGCAGAGGCAACGGTGCATGAAGCAGGATCGGTCCGAGACGTACAACATCCTGGTGCGGTCCATGAAAACATAGAAGCCGTAGCCCTTGCGAGCCTCAAAATGTCGATTGTGTGCTGAATAAACTCCTCGCGTAGCGACCCGGCCCCGCAGCCTCGAGCGCCTCCCAGGTAAAGACATAGCGGATGGTGTTGAAGCCCCAACGCGTGAGGCGTGAAAAGTGAATGTGGGCTTCGTCTTTGGGGAATGGGCGAGCATGAAACTTGACGCTGTCGCCGTCGAAAAAATCGGTGCCAACATGGGAGGGCTGGTCTGGTTCGCTGGGCAGCTTTGCGTCACCTGCAAGGTTGATGCCGCGGAGGACGACGGTGCGGCCCTTGCGGTCACGGAACTGGCCGTCCTCGATCGTCAAGCGAAATTGTGGCGTACTAGACATGGCGTGAGAATGTGGCGTGAGAGGTTCGGCGACGATGTGCAGTCGCTATGGGAAGGAGGAAGGAAAAGAGGAGTAGGAGGAAGAGAACAGGTCGAGTCGCAGGTACGAAGTTGGAATGTCGAGTCGTACTAATCGGGGGATCGGGGGCGCGCGTGGGACGTTAGGGGTGCCGAGAGGTGGATATGGATGTC